GGAATGTAAATAGCAGCTGCCTTATCTGATACAAGGTTTCATGCAAGGTACTGCATTCTGTGGTGACAGGAATAGTGCACACTGGAAACAATGTGAAAGTGATGTGTGTTACATTTTTGGCATTGGCTTAGTTAAATACCTTGCCGAATAAAAGCTTAAGAGGAGCTGAGTGGTATTAAAAAGTGTAGAGGTTTGTTCTTCCATTTGTTGTGTTATAATATAAAAATAAATGTGAATATTAGGAATTCTAGTAACATCTGAGCATATGTTTAAAATATAGTAAAGGATCGAAATTCCCGAGGCACATTTCCTGGTAATTAGGTTTTAGAGAGCATGCAGGAAATGGTACTGTGAAAGAGACTTTCAGGGAGAATTCTACTTGCCAGCAATCCCACATTCACTTTCTGAAGTGATGAAAAAAAGAGGTGGGAAAAGACCTGTCTCTTATCAAGCTCAGATCTGGTGTATATAGTTTTAAGACTCTTCAGAGCATCCCTTATGTTTTATCTGCTTCAGTTTGGGTGGTAGAATTTCTAGCACTTCTTTTTCCCTCTTATCCTGTTTTTTTGTAACAGTTACAATTTGTTTTTGTTTTAATTTCTAAAACCTTATCCAGTTCCCTGGCTTCTGATCAGCTGGACCAGAAAAAGCCTCATTTTTCTTAGTTGTTAAACTCTTCAGCTCTTGTCAATGTGTGTCATATTCTATTTATGCTCCTTAAGGAAGATATTGTGTGAACAGGATCTGAATTCCCATCTCCCAAGAGTAGCAGAAATTGTTATTGGTTTACTTTTAAAGTTCAACTGCATAAAGCACTGGGCACTGTACTGGAGGGGAAGTAATTCTGAAGTAGAAAAGGATTGAAATAGATGTGGTTAGAAGCCTAAATTAGTATTATGTACAGTTGGCCAAAAACCAGCCCTTTTAAGAAAAATGGGTTTCCTTTTTGGCTTTGCCACTAGCTTGTGAAGATGTGCAAAAATACATTAGGTTGCCTGTAAATCAAAGGTGTTTTAGGCATACATGTTATCATACAGTTGAGGGTAGGGTTCAGGCAGGGATAACAGGTTATTACATTATGTTTCATTATATTATTATTCATTATGTTAAAATGCACCCCAGTTAAAGACAGTCATTCTGTACTACTGTCTAATTTCTCAAAAGTGTTTATAAAGAAAATATCCTGAAACTATTTGATTTTTTCCTTTGTTGCTCTTGTTTTAAGGTGAGTTTGTATTTTCACACCTGTGCACTATAGTTGCAAATTGTAGTAGTCTAAGGACTTTTGTTTTTTCTCCGTGTAGAGCCACTTAGTTTTACAGGACAAGGTGATATATTTCTGACCTGTAACACAATTTACTAAAACTGTGTTAGTTACTCCTAGTATATTGTATTTGGTGAAGGACTAGAAGAGAACAAATTTGATAGAAGTCAAAAAAACCCAACCCAGTCTCAAATGGTGATGTGTAATCTTGTAATGCAATAGCAAATAAAATAAATAACCAATTTTTAGCACTGGCAAAAATTTAGCCATTGAGTGTGTATTGAGATTTGTCTTTAGGACATCAGATAATTGGAAGAGAGGGTAGGCTATTAGAGGCAGAACATCTGATGTAGTCAAAATGTTCTTGCAAGATAGTTACAAGAATAATTGAATAGGTTAAAATACGGTTTCTCTTCAGCTCATGGTTACTGCCCCCTCAGCTCAGGCAGTGAATGCTTCTAGCCTATTTTAATTCAAAGTAAGGCAAGACCATTTTAATCATCAGTGGAGCAGCTGGTACTGGCCTCTGTCAGGAGGAGGATGCTGGTCTTGTTTGAAACTGTGTTCCTCTGTTTCTTTAATGGGAAAATACATTTCAGAGATCAGAGAATGGGACTTAAAAATTAGTTGGGAAAAGAAATTGTGGTTTTTTTTTTGTTTTTTTTTTCCAAATAATTCCCTATCTTATGCCATTCAATGTATGTTGAGGATGCTTAGCTTATATAAATGAAAAGCTTTTGTCTCTGGGTCCTAAAGTTGTGCAGACATCTGAAGTGTTAATGCAATGGGGAGCCAGGAAGGTAGAGAGACTGCTGCATCCTGGCCCAGTACTTAGCAAGCAGTATCAGCATTCCCACTTGGCTGTAGTCCAAATGCTGTGCCTCTGTATCTTTGTTTTGAAGAATCAATGTAGATTGACTTGAGTTCAGGGGAGGATTTTGTCAGTCAGCTTTCAAGTAGGAACATTGAGGCCAGTCCCTTGTTTGTGGAGCTGACAGGACAAAAGTGAGTGTTTGACACGAGGCTTGCTCAGTGGATGGGGATAGAGGCTGTTGAGATTTTTCAGAGATCAGGCTGTAAATGAAGTTGTTCTGCTGGGTCACTCATCTGATTTACACACAAGCTGTTTCTATTGAAGCACCTGGGGCCTTTTGTTCATGCTTCTGAATAAGCCTCTTTCAGTCACCAACAGTAATTTAGCATCTCTGCTTCCTTCAATAGGTAAAAGGCAAGTACAGGAATGACATTTTCTCCTACACTGTGTGCAGCTTTACACTTATTTTTCAAGATAGGTAACAGAACTGTATCAGTAGTATAAATTTATTATATACTGGAGCTGATTCAGAAGTCATCTAAGGTGTTGGCAATTTTTGACTGCATACTTCCTAATTCTGGAATAATTCTAAGCAGCGGGAGTGCTTGGGTGAGTAATGATATCCTCTGTAGGTACAGAGAGTTCTGCAGGGTAGACTTCCTATGTTTCCCTTTGTTATCATGGCAATTTTAGAGGAAGACATTGCATTAACTTGTAAATGCCCTAGCACAATGCAGTGCCCTACCTGCAGCTTGTAGTGACTCTGATTTGTGCCATAATCTCACATAAACATTGAGGCAGTGTACACTTGTCTTTCCACTGAGAGAGTGGGCCCCATTCTTCTGCCTCTGTATCTTTCTGTGGTCAGTGCAAATATTTAAAGTAACTTCTTTTATCTTGTCAATCAAACTTAATGACAGTCAGTTCTTTGAGTTCATTATCACAGCATGAAAACTTGAGCCAGCACAAGGGACGAGAAAGCTTGACAACAGGGAATAAATGATTGTGGCAAAGCTTTGATAAGTCTGGTTGGGGAAAAAAAGGTCATCCCATATTTATTTTGTGTTAAGTTAAAAGTTCAGGATGGGTAGTGGTAAACAGCTGGTGCTTACCTAGTGAATTTGCTCTGCACCACGAGAAGTACCATATTGTAGTTAATCTTCCTTGTGACTGTGATGTTCTTGGAAAGTAACAACTTTGATTTAAGTAAATTTATCCAATTGGGGAAGTGTTTCATCGTAGGTGTCCACTTAACATATATATGTATTTATATATATTTAAGGCTGACTGTCACAACAGCTTCTAATTGCTGCAGTGATACAAATTACATTGGAAAGAAAAGATTGCTGGCATTTGGAAGTTTTTTTTATGTGGGAGTGTTTGTTTTCTGGGAGGTTAGGATGACAGACAAGGAAGTAAAGGCTCAGATTTATGTTGCTTGGTATACTTGTTGCTTGTTGTCTATTTTATTTTTGTCTTCAGAAGGGGCATTATCTACAAGCTCATGTGACATAATACTGTGAAATACTGAAGCTCTTGAGATTCAATATCTTTATAAAGTGAAGAGGGTTTTCTTTTGTGTTTTTTTTTGTTTTTTTTTTTTTTAATGAAAATTAGGTGAGGAATTTACTCCAAGGTATCAGAAACTTTTAATAAGAACATTTGTATAGCCTGTGTTCCCCGGCAATCTTTTAATATTCTTTATGGAACAACAGTGTGAATTGTAACAAAGTACAGCAAAGAACGTGGTGATAGACAGGGTTAATCTCTCTGTGGCTCTCTGCACAGTACCAGATTATGGATGTTAGTGATCACCTTTCTGTTAATTCAAGGATGGGTTATGTTACTCTTACATACTAATTTAGTGCAAGATTGTGTAAGGTTTTCTAGCCCTCGTAAGAGCAGCAAGAAACGGTGGCTCAAAAGGCAGCTGTCACTTCATCCCCATTCCAGCTGCTCATTCTGCTCAGATTTCTTTCCATCCTCCCTTAAAAAAAAAGGGGGGGGGGAGGGAGAGAATTACAAAAAAGAATAATATGAGGGTTAGAAATCTCTAGCATCTAATTTATCACATCCTACAGTTTTCACAGCTATTTGCCAATTTAAAATATCCTTGCTTTTTTTTTTTCTGCCTTGCCAGTAATTAGAGAAATGCAGCAGTGCTTATGGCATCAAAAACTGTGGCTGGTGAAAGCAATTGCTATCATAATGCATCCCTAAATTTAATAGTAGTGGTGTAAAATGAACAGGCAACTCGTTGTATTTCAGGGGTAATGGCTTTAACTATCAAAATGGCTAGTATTTTCCTTGATTGGCTGCTTCTGGCTCCTTTATTTGTGTTTGGAGGAACCGAATTGATTTATTGTAATAACTGTATTTTATTTAACAAATAACAAGCCAAGCAGAAACATGAAACTCCTATAAAGTGTCACCAATTTCCCATTCACATTGGACTGCAGGTTTTTCCTTTTATTCCGTTTACACACAAACCCCAAACTTTTTCTTTCCCTGCCAGTATTACACTTAAAGTTGCCATTTCCTGTTCTGCTTCCCTTGCAAAACTGCTTGCTTTGTGTCGTGCCCGGAGCATGGCTGTGCATGGAGAAGAGGTCTGATTAATTGGAAAGAAACTTTTGTTAATGGAAGAACATTGAACATTATGGAAGAACATAATGGTGTAGAAAATTGGTTAAAAAAAATACTTTCTTGATCCATAATGCCTTTTTCTTGCTACCATGACACATGTAAAGCTTCTCTCGAGGAAAAGACTCATCAGCAGTTTGTATTCTCTTAAAAGATGTCTCGGTCTTTAAGGGCAGGTGCAGTTGTGTTGATGCCATTTGGCTAAGCCTTTAAAAGTTCCTGTAATCTGTGCCATCCTGTCTCATACAGTCCCATCTCATAGTTGTCCTTTCTCTGCAGTGCTCTATGCCCAGATCTCTGTGGCTGGGCTGCTCCAGCCTGGCGGACAGCATGCCCTCGCTGCGATGCCTGTATAACCCAGGGACTGGCGCACTCCCAGCTTTCCAGGTACTTTCTGTCTCTCCCTACTCCTCCTTTTCTCACCATCTGTGTACGTGTGCATCTCCTTGCTTTACCTCCATTTATTCTGCTTCATACTGTATGCCTCTCCAATGTCATTCAGATCTCTGGTATTTAAACCCATCTTGTGTAGATTCAGGGCAGCTCAGTGCTGGGGCATTTCCATTACCTCGATATAATTATTTTGTCTAAGTTGGCTTGGTGCCATCATCTTTTTCCATTGACTTTCAATTCTGTCAAAAATATACCACTTAATTATGTTTGGCAAACAGTCTCCATCACACAGTCTTCAATCTGGCTATTCATGCAGTGATTCCCCTCCTATCTAAATTTTCTGTATGCTACTCAGAGGACAGAGGGGGTGGGTTCATTGCCATAGTGATAATTGATGCCAGCATTTGTTTACTTCAGGTTTGCTAACAGTAGTCTGGACGTTTTGACTACAGAAAATTGTTGTACAAGTAAGCTGTCATTCAAAAAGAAAATAAAGGAAATATGGGGTATTTTCGCTTTAGTTTCTGAATTTGTAAGGTTCAAGCTTTTCTCTGTCATGAGACAGCTTTCTGCCAAACAGGTTTGTTCAGGCGCTTTGGGTGACCAGTGCATGCAGACACGCTCCTGGGGGTACAGAGTGAGGCAGCAATTAGGTAGGCATTTAGAAACCTAGGCAAAGTTCTCAAGATGATTGCAAGCAATTTATGATGACATATGGGTATAAATATCACAGACTGGGCAGCAGAGATGTTATGTTCATATTGGGTACTCTGAGACGTATGAAGTGCAGAGACTTCTTGTGGTTTAAGCCCATGTTTAACTCAAAAGCACGCAGCCACTTGCTCACTCCCCCGCCCCCAGAGGGATTGGGAGGAGAATGGAAAGAATGTAACTTCCACAGGTTGAGATAAGAGCAGTCCAGTAACTATACCCAATAATAATAATGATAAGGGAAATAACAAGGGAAGAGAATATAACTGCTCACCATCTGCTGACCAATACCCAGCCCAACCCATGCAGCGATCTAGCTGTTCCATGTAACTCCCCGCCAGTTCATATACCGGGCACGATGTGTTGTGGTATGGAATATCCCTTTGGCTAGTTTGGTCAGGTGTCCTGTCTCTGTTTCCTCCCAGCTTCCCCTCCTCCCTGGCAGAGCATGAGACTCAGAAAGTCCTTGGTCAGAGTAAACATTACTGAGCAACAACTAAAAACATTGGTGTTATCAGTGCTGTTCCCAGGCTGAAAGTCAAAAACACAGCACTCCACCAGCTATGAAGAAGGAGAAAAATAACTGCTACTGCTGAACCCAGGACAAGACTAAAGGACCTTGGGAGTATCTGTGTAGAGAGTGTGTTTACTGGAGCTCAGGGTAGCATGAACATTTACTTCGAGTTTTATGCTGCTGGATTATGCTGCTGCTGACCTACACTGTGGCAGAGTTTTATTCAGCAGCATTTTGCAAGCCCAGACATAATGAATACACTAGAATCCTTCTGAAATTTTCAGTCATATTGGTTATTTTATTATCATTTTCATTATCTGTCTCTGAAAGCATGCGAAGATTATTTTGAATTTGACTTCTTGCTCCCAGGGCTAGGAGAGTACTGTGGAAATAATCCTGTCAGCCTCAGGGGAGGCTTAAGTGTCTTGCGTCATTTTGCTGCAACTCTTTTTGCTGACCCAGCAGTAGCGCTGATGGACTCTGGAAGGTGTCCTGCCAGGCCTCCTTTGCTGAAGCAGGCTTTTAGCAGAGCTTTCCATGGGGGAGGGGGAAGATGACTTCTTTATTAGCCTAAGAGGACTCTGGAGACAACAGGCAGAGTTTAGACTCCCACTTCTAATCCTGATTTGCATAATTTGACTAAATCGGATGGGCCTCATTTTGGGGCTTTTGGCTGTTGAATAAATCTCAGATCCCTTTAAGCTCAGGTTTTGGAGAACCTTAGCAGTATATATGGAAAGCAATTTATAAACTCAAACTGAGACTCCTTTCTTTCTACTTGAATTATTTTTGATTACTCAGAATAAGCATATATTGCAAAGGGGAAGGGAAATTAGCCTCTTTTAGCTCAAGATGTTCTTGCTAATGATACACAATAACTTTTCTGCTAATGCAGTGCAATGATATTTGGGGTCAGAAGAATCAGCTGCACAACCCTTCCTTCACCTTGTACTGCCTTTTTAAGAGAGTAGTAGGGCTTGGACATTTGCAGTCCTGTAGATTTTGAGAGACATTTCCATGCATATTTAGTGATTGTGGGAATTGGGGAAGTCTGCCCCACTGCCATCTAAAATGATGTAGTGGTATTCTTTATAACACTCTGCTATGTTGAAGAACATATTTAGTGCCATTTGAGAGGGAAACTAAGTTGCCAGTAACAGCTTCTGCAGCAATGAGTCATCTATATTTCAGTCCACTTTTTTTCACTGGGCTTTGATTCTCCATTAACTTGCATGGTTTGGAGAAAATTCGCCTCTATGAGGCATGGTTTCTGCATTTCCCAGAGCACAAGTCTGCATGGGAGTGGTTTGGAGCCTGCTTGAAGCAGTGATGTTGCAATATTTCATCGTTCTTTAATGGTGGTTTTGGTATCGAATCTTCAGGAAAGCATTAAAAACTTTCTTGTAGCCCAGCAAATTTTGTCATATTAAGTTATTTCTTTTTTTCTGTAGCAAGCTTGTAGTAACTGGAGAAGCATTTCAATGTTCTTTGCTTGTGGCAAAAGAAAAGATGCCATCTGGAAGGCTACTTAGTCACTGGTGAATTTGTCTAGTTATTTACATGCTTACCTTCAGATGCTCAGGCAGAAATGTGCAAAGAGGCTCTTTTTGAATAGCTCAGTTAAAGCCCTGCTGACTCCTCACGGGAAACATTGGCAGGTAGTCGATTTAGAGATGATTCTGGAAACATGTCAGATAACTTCATTTTCCTTTGTGTGTTTTTATTATTGGAGATGCTTCTGTGAAAACAGGATCTTCTGGTTCCTCAGCTCTGTTTAGTAATCCTCCCACAGTGGGAAAGGTTTTAAGGCTAAACCCATGAATAGGGGAATAAGGAGCTAGAAACACTTCTTTTTAACATCTTTTATCTCAAAGGGCTTTGCTACTGATAGTCTATTGTGTAACTGAATTTCATAGAGATCATGGTGGAAAATGGCAGCAAATTGGAACATGAACTTCTATAAGGCACTGTGGGAAGGGGTCAAAGAGGGTATTTTAGCAAGAGAAAAAGGCCAGCTGTTCCATTTTGTGTCTTGGATGCCAAATTTTACTGTACTCTTATTCTGCAACACTACTGAAAACTAGGTTGCATGTAGATTCTCTTAATAATAAATTAATGCAGACTGTATTCTTTTTCCTAGAAATCCAGGCTTTGGAAGTTTCCAGATTTACCAACAAATGTCTGTTTTCATGGCATTTTGCATTTGAAGATATTTACTTTCCCTTTTAAAATGTTTTCCGTCTATGCTCACAAGGCTCTATTCATGTTACTTTTTAGTCATAGTTATTTGAAAATTCTGATTTACAATTACACCCATCAGGTATATCAAGGAAATGATTTTGTATTAATCCTTCCAGGTTTGCAGAAGACCATAGTATTTCCTTGAATTTACTTCTGTAAGCTATTGTATAAATGAAGAGACTTATGGAGCAATTTAAAAGTCTTGCCAAAGGTTATGTATCAGGGTCAGCACAGAGAGCAGCCCAGCTTTTCCTTTTTTACCTAATTGACACTCATCACAAATACCAGCTTCAGTTTAGATTGTAAACTTTCTGGGAGAAAAATCCTGGTTTTTCTTCTTTGTGCGCGAGTGAAAAAGCAAAGTTGTCTTGTTGGCTTTATTTTGCCAGATCTGAAACTCTGTAGCAGGCTCTAGTAGGCAAAGAGGAGGATGAGATTTTGTGGCAGAGGTAGCAGCATGTTGCCAAATACAGAAGTGTCTCTTTGGAATACCTGAAATTCACATTTTGCTTTGCCTGATGTGAAGGTATTGCTCATAAACAATGGCACACCAGGGTTTGTCAGATGGAGGGGACTACCTTCTGCTCGGTTTTGCCCCTGTCGGTCTTGCCTGGAAGCTCTGTCCTGGTTGAGGAAACCATGGGTGGACTGTGCCAGGCAAACTGAAGTAAAGATGAGCACACTCGAGGTGATGCAGCACAGACATGGTGTACACCGCTTCTGTCTTTTGACTGAGATCCCTTTTGGAGAGAGGTGAGAGTAGGAAGGATGCAAATGGTCTGTAGTAATGGAAGCCTGCGGTACCCATGAGACAGAGATGAACTCAATTTCCAAATCATTTTTACATCTATTTTTTTTCCTAATGTTTATGTTTTTGTGTTAGGAAGTGGAATATTTGTTAAGAAGGCATTGTCAGTAAATTGTAGAAACAGTTGTCTCCGAATTTCTTTTGGCCTCTTCAGGCATTATTGCCTTAAAAGTTGACATTTTATTGCTGGGAAATAGGGTGTAAATGTGAGTAGTAGTACATTGTTTACAGTTATACAGGAGGTTAAAGCTAAAGTCTTGGGGTGGGCAGACTGTGCATGCTTGGAATCATGTTTGTGAGAAATGCATCTGAAAGAAATTGTTTGGCTTTGGAGCCAGTGTTTTCTGGTGTGTGTAGTTCTGTCTCTAATTGGGAGAGAGATGGGGTGTCCAGTCAGCAGACTCCATCAGTGTGGAGATGTGGCCGCCCTTGACCAAGCACGGCTTTGTGTCCCCCACCTCGCACTGTCCCAGGGGCCGTGTGAAATCTGCCCATGGGCTGTTGACGGCGCCTCTAAAGCGGAACCATGATTTTGGTGACAAATAGCCAGAGCATGTGGCTGCAGCACCCCCCGGCTGGCGGCAGGCTCTCCCCTGGTTATGAATGTAGTTAGGTGGCCCCCAACTGTTTACAAGACAGCAGAGGTGAGATCTTTGATTGACAAGTCAGAAATGCATTAGATCATTCCCTCTGCCAGTCTCTGGTTCATGCTGTTAAAAA